CTCTCAATGGTGTAGGTGTGCTACTAAACTACTGGAGCTTGTGTGCTGGAGTGTCCAATAATGACACTGAAGAGGTGGAAGACAATAGGTTCCTGTGGCTACGTATATATGGTCTTTCCCTCTTCTTATGGAACCTAAAAATTATTAGAATGATGGTAGGGGTGCAACTTGGGCAAGCTCGGCTTGGGCTTTTGTCAAACTTTGAATGGACCTGACCTAAGGGCCTGAGGCTAAAGCAGTGTAAAATGCTAACTTGGGCCAACACAAGTTGGACCCCTAAGCAATGGACAATTGCTGTGGAAGGTTTGTGGAGATGCACAATTTAGATAAAGCGATAATCCACTATGAATGGGTTGGGTTAAGGTCAAAATCCACCGTAGAGAAGCAGTTCCATCTAAGGTTTGTGTGGTGATGGATGAGATGGTGTATGAGATTGTCATTTGGCCAAAGATTCTTTCCAAAGTCTCAGTAAATCCTAACACATGGAGTATGAACAATCCTATTTCATTTATGGAGGGAGCTCATACATTGAATCCTGAGGATGAAATCTATATTTAAGTTGTTAATGATCACCTACTGGCTGGAAAGGCACTATGGACCAGAGGCCACTAGAGCAGGAGAAGATGGACAGACAAYAGGAAGATCTTTGCCCCCTAGTTCAGGTGGAGGACATGGTTTCATCATCATTAGAGAATAAATGGTGATGATCAAAGATCAAMCAGTGATTCATGTGGACATCATCAAATTTCTGCCAGGTCAACAAAGAGACAGGAGGATAGATCGCCGTAAAAAAGATATTCAAATTTCAAAGAAAAGGTAAGAGTTTCTAGTGAGATGCTTGGAGATAGGCAGAAGTCTCTTTAAGGAATGCATTTATGCATCTTCAAATTGTTCACTCCAGCATCTGGTAGGTGCCTAACCCCCCAAGGGTGCAACATGAGGGGGGAAATGGTACAAATATAAACTAGGTGAGACAAACATTAGTTTGGCCACAGGTTGGTAGGTCWAGACCAGCATACCAACAATGGGAGAGTTTCAAGGGACCTAGGGCTAATCCTTTGCCAATTCAAAGACAGGAGGTATTTCTATTAGAAACACACCTTTGAGCCCAAATCTGCCTTGACAGGACTAGTGGAGGTCACAAATTGTATCCATAGGTAAAGAGCCAGCAATGACCACCTCTAGTAGAGAGGGAGAGGAGTTAGAGGAGACTCAGGTGGGGATTTTAGGTGAAACTCTGTTTGCCAAAAAAGCCCACTTCATG